ATACTAAATTTATAAATTCGTTGAAAATAACAGAGGGATAAGTTTTTTATTCATATGATGTATTTATACGTTTTTTATTAATGACTTGAATTTATAATTAATTTAATTAATTGTTAATTATTAATTTATTAATTTGAGTTAAGATATTTTTATGTTACTAAAAATGCATTTGTTAATTAATATTTTTATGTTGCTAGAGATAACATTTTTGTATTCTTTACATATATAGTATTGTTAAAAATTGTATAAATATTTAAAATACTTATATATTTTTTAGGTATATGTATTTATTATTTTCAATAATCAATATACATGCTCTCGAAAGTTTTATTTGTTATTGTAAAATATCGTTTTTCTTAATTTATTATATTTAATTAGATTTTGGAAAATCAATTCTTATAAAAATTATTTTTTCAAAATTATCAAAATTGGATTTAATAAATAAAATTTTATTTTATTTAAAAATGCTAAGAATACCTGGACAGAGCAGCTACGGGAACTGCATCGAGACTGTTAGTCGCAAGAGAGAGAGCCTTGAGATGCTCTGCAAATTCTTGAAAAGCCTCACCGGAAATATTTCTGATTTCGTTATTAGCCAAATAAAGATACGACAATATTCTCAATCGACTAATTGCGGTTGGTACCGCCGGCAAATCATTGTTTTCAAGATTTAAATATTCGACAATATCTTCCAGACCGTGAAAGGCTTCGCTGTCAACATTTCTGATACTGTTCGACGACAAATGAATCCTTCTCGTTTCGAGACGATCAAACATTCTGCCAGGCAATGAAGCCAATTTGTTTCCGGCGAGATTAAAGTCTCTTACTTTTAAGGTGCGATTGTTCAAAGTGGGTGTCTTTATCCATTCGATGGAATTTTCGCTAACATCAATTAATTCCAAACCGGAACTACGGAAGTCCGGTAATTCCAAATATTTAAGCTCATTTCCTCTCATATAAAGCCAGGTAAGTTTCTTCAAATCTCTTAAAGACTGCGGAAATTCTTTCAAAAGATTATTGTTGATGCTCAAGGTGTGCATGTTCGGTGGCAAAGAATCCTCGGAAAACTTCTCGATATTGTTGTTATCTAGATTCAACCATACCAACGCGGCAAAACTTGAAAAGATTCTAGGTACTTCAGTGATTGAATTATCCCCGAAGAATGCGTTCGTCAAGGTCTCTTTAGTGCGGCCCCAGTCGCCATCCAATGATGTTAGATGATTGCTAATTATTAACAAATTACTTGACTACACGTAAAGTAAAAAAATGTTTTAATTTATTACATCAATCTTTTTTAAATAATGTTTCTCTTGTAAAACTTTTCAAAAAATGCTAAACTTTAAATAAAAGATTATTAAAGTAATAAGATTTGCAATTTTTGCTATAAACGAAATAATACTTTGCTTATAAATAAAGATTAGAAATATAATATCATTAAAATAAATGATTTATATGTACCTGTGCATGTTGAGCCAATTTAATTTTTTTAAATCACGAAAAACCTTGAAAGGCACATCCTCGAGAGAGTTATAGCTTAGATCCAATGAACGTAGACTATCCGTAACACCTCTTACAATAAAATTAATGGTATTAATCTTAATTCCAGGATTTTTTCAAAATTAGTAATAAATTACACAGACAAAATTTAGACCCAGAAACCAGAATATACTTTTCCTCAGTTTTTTGACACGCTGAATTCGAATCCGAGGTCAGAATTTCTCTGGTGGCTCCGGTTTTCGAGATATTCTAACCTAAACGTGCCCAAATCACGGTAGTAATTCGGTATATTAAAATGAGTTTTGTTACAAACTAATTGATAAGCAATTAATCATTTTCCAAATATCGAGAAATAAGTCAAACTACTTAATTTGAACATACGATTTCTCAAAGATAAAAAAAGATATCCGGACAAATCAAAATGTTTTTTAAAGAGGAAGAGTAGTTCTTTCGGACCCCATTAATGGTTTTATGAAAAAAAATTACCTTGCGATGTAACATAACCTCAAATATCTCGAAAAACCGTGATTTTGGCACTTTTAGATTAGAATATCTCGAAAATCGGAGAAATTCTGACCTCGGATTCGAACTCAGCGCGTCGAAAACTTTCGGAAAAGTATTCTGGTTTCTGGGTCTGAGGTTTGGCCAAATTTTGTCGGCCTGTGTTATTAATAAATCAAATTTTGACATGCAATTGGTTTTACTAAAAATAATCTCTAGAACGGGGAATACCTTATAAAATATAAATTATCTTGAACACAAAATTATTTTATAATAATTATTTTATAATAAAAGTATTTGTGAAAAATATATATTATTATTTTATTCGTATTGTATGCAAAAAAATTAAAAATAAACTTACAATAAAGATTTTTCATCTATGCTGGATAACCGGTTGCTCATCAATCCGAGAGCTTCGACACCATCACAACTCGTAAGAGCGTCATTATCCAATACTTGTATCCCAGAGCCAGCAATATCCAATTGTGCCACATATTTTATTAATACATCTAAAATGTTTTACATAAATTATGTTATTAATTTGTTTAATTATATTTCTTTTCGAATTTTTGCTGATATATATGTGCATAAATATATATATTACTATTATCATGGAGAAAAAATGTAAATTTTTAAAATAATATTAAACATAATAGAAAATCATGAGAAGAAAATAATTTTTAAGCTAAAATAATTAAAGAAAATTCATATCTAAGAGTGATATTTATATTACATACAAAAAATTGATTTCGTACCAGGAAATCGTGCGAATGGAACTCCCATGCAACTGATATCCATCTTCGTATAATCATTATCATCATCTTGAATCCAACACATGCACATGGTGTTGAACGAGCAAGGAACATTATAGCATTCTTTCGTACCAATCCAAAGAAGGAAGATTAATTTGTATATGAATCGATTCACGAACGTCATCTAAACACATACACAAAAATCAAACTTTTTAATACAAAAAATGCAAAAATATTTATAAAAATATATATTAACGTTTTGCAATTTATGACATTATTTGCATTAATGTTTAAATACTATTTTAAATATTTATTTAATTATTAATATTAAATTAATTAATATTTATGTTTAATTAATTAAATATTTATGTTATAAAGAAAACATTTAAAAATTTTTTATTTTTGAAAATTATCTTTATATTAAATATTATTTGTTTTAAGTCTAGAGATCTATGTTTGTATAATTAATGATATAGTTTTACAATATATAATAGCAATGCACACTTTATTTTACACACAGAATCTTAACATGTTATTATTTTAGAGAAATAATCGCGAAATTATCGATAAAAAATTACTTTGATCAGACCTTGTTAGAACTAAGCCGGGGGTACTTCCTGAAGTTCCTTCCCCAGAAACTTAGTCAGATTGGCTTCAAAGACGAGATACTCATTTCAAAAGAGCATCTGCGTTTTCAGGATACCTTCATGACTTTGTTGTTGATGTGCGAGACTAGGAAGCAAAACGCGTCGAAGACTCAGCTCGTAGATGACTCCCAAAGCGCAGGTGCCAATCTTTAAAGAGCGCAAGCGCATCTCTGGACGAACTTTATAGATCGAATATGGTACACAAGTCACGACAATTTAATGAAAACTTCGTTATTTGAAATATATATATATATACTAATCTTTAAAATATATAATTAATAATTTAATTGATAATAATAAAATTTATTCACTGTTTGTTATATAAAATCGTAAGCACGGATGTTTTATACATTGTTAGTGTCACAAATATTTCTTTGTATTTGTATGTATAAAAATTTCATGTATGTATGAAAAAGAGATCGAAAAAGAGGGAGAGAAAATTTTAATAAATATTTATATCGTTGATTAGATGCATCAAACATTTTCTTATATCTTATATGAAGAAAAATTCAGGAGAAATTGATACACAACATAGTTGTTTTTAAGAAAAAAAATATGTAATTTGCAATTAACAATTACATTTTTTTTTAAGAAACTATGTGTTTTCTTTACACCAATTAATTCCTCTCATTATTTTGTACATAAAAGTATTAAGGTAAAATAATAGAAAAATGAATATTTTACAAGATATTTTACGGTTTATGTAAAATTAAGAAATGATTTCAAACCTCATAATTCGGAAAGTACTTAATGAAAACTAACTTAATTATAATGTTTTGGAAAGCTCTGGACGTGAGCTATCAGAATATTTAATAAAAAATAGGGAGTTCCATTTAAGAAATTGACGGTGATCTTTACGGCTTTCAAATGACTCTCCCATGTCATTGCCACTATCTGATGGCCTCCTTCAAGCCATACAACTTTTGTCTGAAACATTTCTTTCTAAAGTGCATAGTTTATGAAATATTCGACCGGTCCGGGACTTTTGGAACACCTTGTATATCTTATCATATTTCTTATATATATATATATATATATATATATATATATATATATATAGTATTATTTCTGTTAGAAGTATTATGAGCAATTTACCATTTAAATACCAATATATATATTTTACAAAGAGCGATAGATTTATTTTTAAAAATTAACATTAATTTCTATAAAACATCTGCGATTCAGGAATTGCAGTAAAACAAGCAAAAAATCTGAGGAAACATCCGAGCGAGTAAGAATACATATTGAGCCATCAATGAAACTCGTTTCTCCGCAAATTTATACGAAACGGAATCCGGTACATTCCTGATAGAAGTCTGGGTCGCACCTGCCAGATGAAAAGAGCAAGAAAGATAGAAACAAAACTCGTGTTACGAATAGGTAGAAGGAAAAGGAGAACATGACAAAGAGAAGGAGGAAGAGAAACATAAGCTTGTCAAAAAGTGAAAGGTTGTCTGTCTCCTCTATCCCCGCACGATCTGAAGTCAGTAGAACCAATTTATCTCCCTTCCCTTTGTATTCCGTCTCCCCTTCTTTCTCTCTTTCTCATACAGTGTCTCCCCCCGTATGATTCGATATGAACGTTACTGGTACCAACACTATTTCAGACAACCGACGACACCATCAACGCGGTGAACGCCGGTTCGTTGATGCCCCGAGGATGATTTTCATTCAAGACTTCTCTCAGTAACACCGAAACGACTTAACGTGGCAATTTCGCTAGTTGATACGCGCGATAAAGTGAGTCTTCATACGCACGTTGAACTAAGGTTTTGTTTTCTTAAGTATCGAAAAAAAGAGGTAGGACTATTATATAAAAATTAATTTTCAGTTGTGATGGAAGCACGATTACAAGTTTTGTTTGGACTTCGATATTAGTTTAAAAGTGAAATGTTTTGTAAAAAAATGGATTTTTCTTAATTAATATAATTACATTATTAATTATATTATTACTGTTTATTAGCAAGGATTTTATAAAAAATTTATTAGCAAGGATTTGATAAAAAAGATAGTTCCAATATTTTATAGTTGCAGAGTAAAGAATCGAAAATTCATGTTATTCGTATATTTACCTGTGTTGTTCCGAATCTCATAAAAAAAATAAACAATAAAAATAAAGCAAAATTTATATTCATTTTTTCATTCGAGACGAAATTTAACTTCTATTAATTACTTTTTATTTTATTAATTTAAATCAACAGTTAAGGTAAAAATAAGAATAGAAAAAAAAGGAAGGGATAAAATGTTAATTCTCTCTTTCTTAAATATTTAATGTTCTCTTTTTATTATTATTTTTATCCAAAAAATGTTAACAAATTATTACAAAAAATTACGTTAACATTAATTTTTTGATTATCACTTCTTTGCTGAATTACGTTTAATTTAATAAGTTACAAATTAATTATAATATAATTATATCTTGAATGTTTATAGATTGTAATTACCTTTGAACTTAAATACAACAACGAAAATTTACAAATTTAACCTTCCATTCACATATTGCGATTGATGCTGTATCATTTGTGTTCCAAACAAGAACGAATAAGGCGAGCGAGAAATGTCAGGAATCTTGTTGATCTCGTGATGAATTGCCAAAGTGGCTCTGATCTCATTTCTTCGGTCGCACCCTCGTTCTTCGCAACACCTGTCACGAATATTATTCAAACATGGAAGAAAATATCAGCTGCATGGAGGAAGAATGCCTGATTGAAAAGAGGAGAGCCATTATCTTAAAGGAGTGTAAGGAAATATTACAGGAAGAAGGATCTGGACGCTATAGCAAGGAAGCCTTTAGAAGACTCTTTCAAGGTCAGGTACGCATATTCTGTTTAATTCAAGTAAACTTAGATAAAAACATTAACAGATGTCATATGATAAAATAGCTTAATTAAAATTAATGATATTATGTAAATTTTTATTTTTTTTTATTTTTGGCGAGCCTTAAATATGGAAATAATATCTGAGAGAAATTTAAAGACCAAAAGAAAAATATAATAGTTTTTACAAAGCTTTCGATTTTAATTTGTGATTTTTTTGTAATGTATAAAATAATTTATTTTAAAAACTTTAAGTTTGCCCCAAAACATGCGTAAATTTTATATAAATAAAATATAAATGGATAAAATCACGATATATAAATTTTTTTAGAATGCATACAAATGTTCGATAAAGTTGTTACGAATTTTCTGAGATGATGAGAAACAGAAATGCCACTTTCATTTATTATAAAATACGAGGCTTATGTAGTAATTTCAGTTTTATGTGACACGGATTAATTTTATGATGGCTTTTTCGATGGTTTCGAAATATCTCAATTAAAATATACGTATTATACAAATAAGTAGAACGTGATTTCGTAGGAAGAAATCGCAATAACACGTAAAAGAATATTGTAACTTACGAGAGAGCAATTATTACGAAATGCAAAAATCATTAAATCGGAAAGCTAAAGATTCGCGCGGGATAGCGACAAAGAAAATACGGTCAAGTAACTCAAATCGTCTGCTGACGTTATATGCATGATTGCAAAAACTCCATTGAATCCATATACAGACTTAATGTCTCATGGTTTAATTGGCTAGACTCTTGAATAAAACTTACCAGATGGAGATACCATTACAGTAACTATATAAAAAGATAATTGACATCTTTTGCGTAGATTTTTGGGAAAGTTTTTATATAAAAGCGGATATTATAAAAAAGTTAGCTGCATTGATAAGTTATATTATCTTCTCACAAACAAAATAATTATCTTAAAATGAAGTTTAGATTTCGATTTTATATCGTAATACTGCAAATTCTAATTTAATTAACCTTTCAATAAACTAATACGACTTTGAAAATATAGTTCTCTATTCTCGTTATATGGTACTTTCTTAAAATGACCATGAGAAATTGCAATTATTGTAATTATTGACTCGCCATCTCACTTTCTTTTGTGAAAAAAGAAGGTTCGCGTGGCACTAGACATGAAACCTCGACATTACATCACTCGAAGATATTGGCTTGTCGAACAATTTGGGTTCTTTTAAAAAAATATTTGTAGATTTTACAATTGACTTTTGACCAATCGCATTTAAATAACAAGATAAGTATAGTATATTAATATTAATATTATAAACATAGTATAAATATTAATTAAGCAACTATTAATTTACTAAAATCATAATTAGATAAAATATACGTTTGATATGTTATAATTAGAAAATTATATAGCTAAGTAAGATGTACGTTTGATACGCGCGTGACAAAAAATTTGTTGTATAAAAAATAATTGAAAATTTAATACAAGCTACTTTCTCAATAAATACATATTAATAAACGAGTTTATTAATATGTATTTTTAAAAGATGTTGATGAATTAATTAATACGGGAATGCGAGACTGGTTTAGAAAATATTGGAGAATAGTGGAAAAATATAACCCGGATTTACTAGCTTTAATATTTTTACTCAAAAATTATTTATATAAGTATTTTTAAGTCAAAAGTTTTAAAACATAATTTCTGGACAGTTTCTTGCGTACATATTTTCCTTGTAACATTTAAAAATATTTTAGAAAAATGCAGGACAAGTAAATATATATATAAGATAAATGTAAAAACTATATATATATATATATATATATATATATATATATATATATATATAGTTCTCACATTTATCTTTAATTAAAAAGAAACCAGTTCTCTCAGACTATTATTGCAGCACGAAAAAAAATGGAGCGAAACTCGATATGGATACTCTATGAGATCGTAATCGCTTAACCAGTCAATCATTTCACACTCCGACAGAAAGCACTGTCATTATACAGGATTTATGTATAATTGTGCAATGCTTACTTGACAAATGCGACCCTTTCTTGTCACTTATATCAAGATACGAAATTTTAATGCTATCGTTTAAGAAGATTTGATGTCTTTATTTATAAAAAATATATCATAAGATAACCATACAGGGTGTCCCAAAAGTCCGGAACCGGTCGAATATTTCATAAACTATGCACTTTAGAAAGAAATGTTTCAGACAAAAGTTGTATGGCTTGAAGGAAGCCATCAGATAGTGGCAATGATTTGACCTTGGAGAGTCATTTGAAGATGACGTAAAGGTCACCTTCAATTTCTTAAATGGAACTCCCTATTTTTTATTAAATATTCTGGTAGCTCACGTCGAGAGTTTTCGAAAACACTATAATTAAGTTAGTTTTCATTAAGTACTTTCCGAATTATGAGGCTTGAAATCATTTCTTAATTTTACATAAACCGTAAAACATCTTGTGAAATATTCATTTTTTGATTATCTTACCTTAATACTTTTATGTACAAAATAATGAGAGGAATCATTTGGTGTAAAGAAAACACATAGTTGTTTTTTCTTTACACCAATTGATTCTTCTCATTATTTTGTACATAAAAGTATAAAGGTAAGATAATCGAAAAATGAATATTTTACAAGATATTTTACGGTTTATATAAAATTAAGAAATGATTTCAAGCCTCATAATTCGGAAAGTAGTAAGTAGTTAATGAAAACTAACTTAATTATAGTGTTTTGGAAAGCTCTCGACGTGAGCTACCAAAATATTTAATAAAAAATAGGGAGTTTTCTTTAAAAAATTGACGGTGATCTTCATGTGACTTTCAAATGACTCTCCCATGTCAAATCATTGCCACTATCTGATGGCCCTCTTCAAGCCATACAACTTTTGTCTGAAACATTTCTTTCTAAAGTGGATAATTTATGAAATATTCGACGGGCCCGGGACTTTTGGGACACCTTGTATATGTTGCTTTCTCATTTAAAAATTATATCTTTATGCGAAATCAACATTGCTCTGGGATAAAGTTTCAATTGGTTTATGCATAACATAACTTTCAATTATAAGAAGATCTTGCCAAATAAGAAAAGCTACAACATAGGCGATGAGATTTCCTTATCGGAGCTGAAATATTTTCGGCTGAGATTTGCAATCTCGAGTCATTTGCAATCATCTTCTTTGTAAGATCGTGATCAGTAATGAGTACACGTTCGAGAATCCGCGTAAGAAAAGGAGACCCGAAGCGGCGATGACGATACGATCGAGTGTCTCTATCGACGGCCTCCCGGTTTCGATCAAGGTGGCCGATCGCTCCAGGCGGAAGGCCTTGATACCCCGAGCGCCTCCCGGTCGCTTGGGACCGATTAATCGATCGTCGAGACTAATGATAGAACATAGTATCTCCGTTAAAGCCGACACTTCGTTTACTAAACCATCCATTAACCCTTTAACCGCCATCGGCATCAAATACGCTATCGGCGATCGTTATCGATCGAGTATCTTTAAATACCGATTTATACCGATACACCGATTATTAAAACGTTTAGCGTCATAGCGTCATATTTTTTAATGTTGAAATTTAATTGAATGAAAAATATAAAAATAGAAGGTTTATAACTTAATTAGTTAAAGTTAGAGACTTGAGAAAAAAAGATTCATTTTTTTTACAATTTGATTACATAATTCCTTTTGAATAAATATTAAAATACATGTTAATATTATTATAAAAATTATACATATGATGATTTAAATACAATTAATTATGATCATACGTAAACATTTATATTATAAAATGTATACATCATATGATATGAGATGATAGTCTATAAATATTTATGATTATATCATTAAACAGAGATACATACATTTTATACACATGTTTCTAATGTTATCTAGCAATATTGACGTTCTTTGAAATATCTTTGTTCAAAATTATATTAAAAAAATAATTAGATTGTTACCTCAAATCTATATAATTATTATGATTGATTACTATCTTTTTTACTACCTTTAATAACTAATAAGAGAAATAAATTAAGAATGAATGATTAGACATAAAATTAGACATTCCTTTCTCTCATCGCTTATTTTAACAACCGGATGCAAATACCGTTATAGCGTCATATTTACAATGTGTAAAATTCCATTTCTTGTCTGTTGCATGAATAAGATATTAGAATTTTTACTTGACGTATATTTAATTCGATTTGTTTTATTCATCTTTTTTAATAATGAAATATTTTCCCAAAAATTTTGAAAGCACTATTTATGTTATACAAATATATGAATATTTTATATTTAATTCTAAATTCAATTTCTTATTTTTGCACAAGTATTTTTCCACAATTTAAATAATTAATACGTCTATTTGGGGTTTTTTATTTTATAATAGCTTTTTATTTCTAAATTTGTATAAAATAGAACTCTAAAAAGAATCATATTCTTTATAATTTAATATAAAATACTAAAGTAACATAAAAATATACATAAATATATATAAGATTAAATTCTTTTTCAAGCAAAGTCTATTTTGAATTTAAATGAACCGAAAATGTTAGAGTAAAGACATTTAAAGGATCTGTCAGTAAAACTGAATAATGATTTAGGTGCAACCTGCATACATTACATTCACTAACTCATGAGATTGGGATATGTTTCTGGATCTTGTACATACCGAGGGAGTGCATGCAGTGTAATCTCTCATGACATTGACCTATTTCTTGATGATCAAGACTGAAATACACACGTGTGTATAGTCCGTCGACATGATGATCGATACGTGTCATATTGATGCTAAAGTTGATGCCGTCATATATATATATATACCTGAGGCTAGAATTTTAATAAATAGGTTTTCATTATCACACATTAACTTTGTCCCAGATATGCATTACATACGCATCAGTATAGAAGATACATTTCAAAATTTGCATTTAAATATGCAATCTTTAAAATGGTCTGTATAATATAACATGTACAAATTTCTCATTTAGATGACAAGTAGGTATATGTTGAAGCATTTATATATATACAAAGTAGTATTATTAATTTTTTTAATAAACTAAAATTAATTAAAATTAAAATCAATTAAAATTTTCTCAGAAATTGTAACATTTATCCACCTTTATTACATGCACAATCTTCAATAAAAAATTTAAATATTTTAAATTTGTTGTATTACATGATTCATTCTGAATATACGTATTGTATTTAATATAATATGTATTATACAATATGATATAAAACTATATTAATTAAACTTTTGTTGCTAAATTAATAAACATTAATTGGTAAGGCATTAGATTTTAAATATTTTATTAAAATATAATGTAAAACTATAAGGATAATAAATTTGTTTAAAAATTTATTTAAAAATTTTGCGATGAATAAATTGACATTTGCACATTACTTATAAAATTCATCAATATCTTCCAGGTACTTCTTAAGAAATTATTTATACTATTTGATCAAGATCGTGATGAATTACTAAAGCAGGAGGAATGGATAGAATTTCTCAAAGGAAGGCTGACGTAAGAATGATTTTCCATTTATAAATATTCCCGCGTATATTTTCATAAGTGATAATTTTTCAATATATATACTTTTAGATAAAGTCGTATATATTAAATATATATTTTATACTTGTTTAATTCTATGTTATTTTTATCAATTTTATTTATCAATTTTATTATTTCTCAGAAACGAGAAGCAAAATGATTTTGTCGATCAAATCGAAAGTGTAGCATATGTATTATGCGGGGAGAATCCAGTAAACTTCCTCAATTTTCAACAGATTTTTTATACCAAAGGGGTAAGTTGTATTATTTTTATATATTGTTGTAATCTATTTTTTAAATACTTTACGATATAATACATTTTAGACATATTTCTCCTATATACCTCTAATAAATAAAACCATTTCAATATGATTTAATAAAGAAAACGTGAATTACGTCTATTAATTATTAAGACAATATAATTATTGAATTAATTAGTTATTTAATTAGTTATTTAATTAATATAGTTTAATATATAAATATAACAAACAGTCAAAGAAAATTTAATTATCATTAATATATAATTATTATAATTTACTATTAATTATTATAATTTACTATTAATTATTATAATTTACTTATTATTATTATAAATATTAATAAACGACGAAGAAACACAGTTAAGAATAACTAGTCAAAGATGTGATTATAGTGTGATGTATTTTTATGGACACGTTTATAGAGATACTTTGTTCGCGTTTCTTTACAGATCGAAAAATAAATATATTAACAATAAACTATTAATATTGTGTTACACACATTTATATGTGTGTGTGTGTGTGTGTGTGTGTGTGTGTGTGTGTGTGTGTGTGTGTACAATTTTTTTGTATTTCTTGACAAAGATAAACAAAAAAGATCTTTTCTAAAAGTTGTCTCAGGAGAGAAACCGTTAAATTACAAGTGTGCTTATATTAAAAATGTACCGTTCAACTTTTCGTTTCTTCGAGAAACGAATTCAAGAAGTTAACGTTTTGTATCAGATACATTTTACATTCGATTTAAGAGTGCCTTTCACATGTTACAGATCGTGGATAAACTGTTCCGTTTAATCGATCAAGAGAACTCAGGATACGTAATGTCAGCCCAAATCATGGAGTTTATATCTGGCGTGAGTAATACCAGGTAATACGCTTATTATATAAAATTACAGAGATTTATTATCCTTGTTTTCATGATATTAAGTGTTTTTTAAGCTTCTTAATTTCGTTAACTTTCGAACGTTGTGTGTTAATCAATTCAATATTTATTGTCTTGTCAGACCACGTGCTGGTTTCGATAAAGGAAATCTCGAATGGCTCGAAAAAATATTTAAACAGACTGTTGGGAATGAGAGGGAAATACGGCGCGAAGAATTTAACACAATTGTTACTTCGAAGAACGTAGGCAGGAAACATAAGTATTTTTTATTTCAAACGTGCAGATATCATTTTTTTCGAAATCTTCGTTATTTTAGTTACGTTTTCTTGCGAGTTTTTTTAATGCTTTGTTTATATTTATTGCTTCTTCCATATTTATATAATCTACTATGTAAGCAAGTTTGCATACATCGATAGCATAAAATTTTATATTTAAATGAAATAAATGATAAATTTATTATAATATTAATTTATATTATTATATAAATTATTATATAATTTATTTATAATATTAATTTATATTATATTATTAATTATAATAAGGAATTACTTATAATATTTATTTATCTTAATTAATTTTTAGCCATTCTTCACCGACAGAGTCTTTCAAATATTTGACAAGGACAATTCTGGTACGATATCGCTTCAAGAATTTGTGGATGCTATGCATCAATTCGCTGGAAAGTCTCCGGACGATAAAATTAGATTCCTTTTCAAAGTTTACGATATCGATGGTAATTATCGATTATGAGTTATTTATTCAAGCAAAATATTTATTAATTTTGGCAAAAGATTTGCAAAAGAATTAGAATGGATTTGAAAAATTAGAATTTTTTTTTTATATTTTTTTATATTTTTAGAGAAAGATATTTTTATCTGTAAATAAATTGTTTTCATTATTCCACATTTTTTCAAAAATAATAAAAGGCGATGGATTGATACAACTTCGCGAGCTGGAACATGTGATGAGAGCATGTATGGAAGAAAATGGAATGAAATTCAGCGACGAACAAATCGAAGATCTAACAATCGCTCTCTTCGAAGATGCTGATCAGGATAACAGAGGAGCGATCACTTTTGAAGCTCTAAAAAGGCAATTAGAGAAACATGATGGTCTGCTGGAAAATCTCTCTATCAGGTTAGATGAAAAATTATAAGATATATAAATTATATATATATAATGTATAAATATATATATATATATATATATATACATATACATATATATATATATTTATATATATGCATATACAAGGTGTCCCAAAAGTCCCGGACCGGGGCTCGAATATTTCATAAACTATGCACTTTAAAAAGAAATGTTTCAGACAAAAGTTGTATGGCTTGAAGGGAGCCATCAGATAGTGGCAATGATTTGACCTTGGAGAGTCATTTGAAAGTCACGTGAAAATCACTGTCAATTTCTTAAACAAAACTTTCTATTTTTTATTACATATTCGTGTAGCTTATCTCGAGAGCTTTCCAAAACACTATAATAAAGCATTTCTTCATTGAGTACTTTTCGAGTTATGAGGCTTGAAATCATTTCTTAATTTTGCATAAACCATAAAATATCTAGTAAAATATTCATTTTTCAATTATCTTACCTTAATACTTTTATGTACAAAATAATCAAAGGAATCAATTGGTGTAAAGAAAACATATAGTTGTTTTAAAAAAAAATATGTAATTGTTAATTGCAAATTACATATTTTTTCTTAAAAATAACTATGTTTTTTCTTTACACCAATTGATTCCTCTCATTATTTTGTACATAAAAGTACTGAGGTAAGATAATCGAAAAATGAATATTTTACAAGATATTTTACGGTTTATGTAAAATTAAGAAATGATTTCAAGCCTCATAATTCGGAAAGTACTTAATGAAAACTAACTTAATTATAGTGTTTTGGAAAGCTCTCGACGTGAGCTACCAGAATATGTAATAAAAAATAGGGAGTTTTGTTTAAAAAATTGACGGTGATCTTTACGTGACGTTTCTTTCAAATGACTCTCCCATGTCAAATTGCCACTATCTGATGTTCCCCTTCAAGCGATACAACTTTTGTCTGAAACATTTCTTTCTAAAGTGGATAATTTATGAAATATTCGACCGGTCCGGGACTTTTGGGACACCCTGTATATATATATATATATATATAAATTATTATATTAATTATGTATTTAATTATATATATATATATATTAATTAATATATTAATTATATATATATATATATATATATATATATATAATTAATTTAAAAAATATAAAAACATAATAAAATTCTAAAAAAGTTTATTTAATTTAAAATTTTATAAAATTTATTATTGATTACTGAAGCAAATTTCAATTATTAATAAATTTTTTGAATTAAAGCAAATATTAAACATAAAAAATCGCAGCATAGATCGATGGTTAGTACCACCACAACCGAAAGCAAAAGAAAAATCCGTTTTGGGAATATTTTCGTCTCTTCGCCCATATCAATTCACAAAGCCATATATGAAGAACAATTATGTCTACATCGCTTTTATTTCAATATTCGCCTTCATCAACGTGGCTTTGTTCGTCTCTCGTCTCTATGAATACCGAAATTATAACGGCTATGTGATGATCGCGCGTGCATGTGGTAAGAAAAGTATAATAATATATAGAAATACATAACAATATAAAGTTAATTTGTTTTAGATATTTAAATGTATCATATAAATGTAATACATTTATTCTAACAATTTGTTTTATATAGATACAAATGTTTTAATGAGTTTGTAGTCATTATTTTCAAACAATTGGTTATTTAATATCAAGTTAAATTTTTGTCTATGTTTTTAAAAGAGAGGACAATGTAAAAAGATTTAGAACTAAACTGATGTAAAATATTTCATTTTAGGACAATGTCTGAACTTTGACTGCACATTTATCCTAATTTTGATGCTGCGCCAATGCATTACATTCCTGCGAACACATGGTTTTAACTCTATAGTGCCTCTAGATCATCACATATATCTCCATAAAGTGACAGGAATATCGATTGGAATTTTTAGCATTATACATACTTTGATGCATCTTATTTACTGCGGTATAAAATAATTTTTTTTTATTTAGTTATACATCTATCATTTATTTTTTAAGTTTTAAATTAGATTATATGTTATACATAAATCTTAGAACTTAGAACTTAAAAAATAAATTTTTTCTTAACAGAAAAACCGAAATCACGATTTATTTCTTATTATATTCAATTAAATTTAATATTATAATTAATAATAATTATATTCAATTAAATTTAAAATTATAATTAATAATAATTATATCTAATTACATATTAATCATAGGTACGGTGATCATAAAAGACGAGAAAATGAATAGCGATAATTATACAATGTTCGAATGGTTATTGACGAGTCGGCCTGGATATTTTGGTTTGGTGGCAGGCAGTGCGTATCCAACTGGAGTAGTTCTGCTTATTATACTTGTCATTATGACAGTGTGTTCCATGGCATTTGTACGGCGTGGAGGTTGTTTTGAGGTATTATTATTTTATAAAAATATTTTCATTTTTTAATTCAAAAATATTAATTTGTTAGATTATATATATATATATATATATATATATATATCTTTTTTATCATTCTTTTATAACAATCAGTGTTTGCTGTAGATAATTTCAAAATTATCTAGATAAAGGTAAAGATAAAAATCCGTAAATTTATTTTAGATGAGATAACGATGATTTTGCTTTTACTTAATCTAGATGAAAAATGAGATGATTATTGCGATAATTTAGATTAATTATGTAGATATTTTTGTTTATTTTATAAGACTATATTTGAAGAAAATATTTGAAAAAAATGTGATGCAGATTATAAATGGGATAAAATCATAAACACATATTCTTTCTCTTTTCCTAAAGAATATTTAAATAATAACAAAAAGGTATATATATAAATGATATGATAAATATTTATTTATTAATTTATATTTATAATATATTTATAATATATTAATAATGTAATAATCAATGTGTAACAATACATATATTATTTTTATAAAATATACATTAATGCATTGCACAAATTTAAGTAAAACAAGTACAAGTAAGTAAATTTAAATAAAAATGAACAGAATGAAAAAGACTCGACGGCGTTCTTTTTTTATTTTAAGTTATTAAGTTTTAAGTTTCTCAAAAATTTTAGATATTTTAGATAGATTTTTAGAAACTTGCCTGGAAAACTCTTTTGCATAATGAAAACGTCATCTTAAACAATTTTTAGATAAGATGACATATATTTTTTATCTAAGATAAAGATAAAGATACTTTGTATTTTTTCATCTAGTTAAAGATAAAAATGATCCATTTCTTTATCTAAATAATTATCTAGATAATTTTATCTAGATACCAGCAAACACTGATAACAATTCCACAATTTTTTATCTATAATAGATATTTTATTGGTCTCATCTGCTGTACATACCGTTCTGGATTTTATTGATCTTTCATTGCCCAAATTTTTGGAAATGGTTCGTTGTCCCGGGCGTGATATACTTGGTAGAAAAAATTCGTCGATTGATGTGGTTACGTTCGCAGCGTGGCAAAACATACATAAGTTCCGGTCTCTTGTTACCTTCGAAGGTGACTCACTTGGTCATCAAGAGACCACTTCATTTCCACTTTCACCCCGGTGATTATGTATTCGTTAATATCCCGGTGATAGCAAGATATGAGTGGCATCCTTTTACCATTAGCAGTGCTCCGGAACAGGAAGGTAAATTGTTTTTTGCAATTTTATATTGATCAAATCTGAAAGTAATTTTCTTAAAATTATTATTATTACTGAAGTAATAATTGAATATAAAATGTACGATTCAAATGTACTTCTCGATATAGTTAAGTCTACAGTTGTGCAATTTTTTTTAGTTTATTCTATTTTTAATCCTTTTATATTAAAATTGCATTATTAAAATATTTTTAACGCGCAGGTTATGCTCTTTATTGTTAATAAAAAACAAACTTATTTATACATGATAATTATATCAGAGGAAACTCAATATCTCTATAATATTTTTGCACAGATTACATGTGGTTACACATTCGTGCAGTCGGTGAATGGACCAACAGTCTGTATTCATACTTTGAAAAAGAGCAAATAAAGTTGCATCGCGGCGATATCTTACTTGTCGAAAACTGCGATAATACAAATACTCCTCGGAAGAAATCCTCGTAAGTTTGCTGGTTTAAAAATATTTATGCAAAGATACACGGAAATAATGTTTGTACATAAAACTCAATATAAAAAGTATAATTATTCCTAATAATTAATAATTATTCCTAATAATTAAATTGCCACGCTATTAATAATTAATTGATTATCGCATATTGTATAAGTTTATATCTTTCATCATAAGATTCCTTGGTGGCAAGAAACCACTTATTACAAGACAGAAACCTTCAACAGAGTCGGTAGCTCATGCTCATGGTCTTGATAATCCTACGTTTGTATCCGCTGATGTGACGAACACCATATTACATACACCTATTAGTAACCAATCTACATATTTAAAAACTCCAGAAAGTAAGATTCGTATACTTAATAACAATTAACATTTTATTATATTATATGTATTATTTGTATATATTTTATATACAGAGTGTCCCAAAAGTCCCGGACCGGTCGAATATTTCATAAACTATGCACTTTAGAAAGAAATGTTTCAGACAAAAGTTGTATGGCTTGAAGGGAACCATCAGATAGTGACAATGATTTGACCTTGGAGAGTCATTTGAAAGTCACGTGAAGATCACCGTCAATTTCTTAAACAAAACTCCCTATTTTTTACTAATATTCTGGTAGCTCACGTCGAGAGATTTCCAAAACATTATAATTAAGTATTTCTTCATTGAGTACTTTTCGAGTTATGAGGCTTGAAATCATTTCTTAATTTTGCATAAACCCTTCAAGCCATACAACTTTTGTCTGAAACATTTTTTCCTATAATCAAAATTAAAAAAGTTATTCGGGAGCATCGATTAAAATGGGACACCCTGTATATTATTGTTTTATATATTATTGTTTTTTTCCAAAAAAACAATACTGTTAAGATTAAATTTATTATTTCTATTAATCATGTTAATAAAGCCGTGTTATTATTAATAATAAGTTTATATAATAAAATATATATTATACAACTAATATTAAATTACACATAAATTTAATTAACATAGATACGTTGGAATTAAATAAGGGGTGGATGGATATGTCTGCGAGAAGAGATAGAAGACTCCATCGATTACTTCTTGATAGCAAAATGCCGCTTGAAAAATCACATTCGATGCCAGATATGCAGACAAAGAATAAGAAAAAAGAACGACTGAGGGCGTAAGTAAATTTATAATATATAAAACATTTTAACTTACTTTTGAAAAGTTATTTTCTTATCTTATTATTTCTTCATTATGATTAATTCTCTAAATATTTTATTGAATTAATATTGTAAATAATTAATATTGTATATGCTTTTTTTTACTATCATCATATAATGATCTCTGAAAATATTAGTCTCTTAAAGCAGCTTATATATTATGATATATGAAATATATGTATAATGTTTATCTAGACTTCGTGATTACATGAGATCAGAATCAGAGAGAAGTTTTGATGAGTGCCAGATGAAACGTGCACGGTTGAAATCATTGGGCTTAGCTTATTTGAGTCCGCAGAATAAATCATTAGCTCAAAGCTTCCGGTATATGCGGACGAAACCAACTATCATCGCTTTCAAAACACCTAGTCTCGAAACGTGTGATTACGAACTCGATATATCTTCGAATGTTGGTAAGTTGTGCGGTAAAAATTTATAATATTTATTTGAAGATATAATATGTAAGACAAAAAAAATTTCTTCTAAAAATATTGTAAAATACAATAATGATATTCTATAATAATAATAATTATAACAAATTAATCATTATTATTTATTATAACAAACTAATAATTAATATTACCTATATTAATTAATGGTTGATTAATTTATTGCAAATGATTTAGAATATGTTTTTATATGTGTTAATCTGTTGATATACAGAGTGTCCCAAAAGTCCCGGACCGGTCGAATATTTCATAAACTATGCACTTTAGAAAGAAATGTTTCAGACAAAAGTTGTATGGCTTGAAGGGGGCCATCAGACAGTGGCAATGATTTGACATGGGAGAGTCATTTGAAAGAAACGTCACGTGAAGATCACCGTCAATTTCTTAAATGGAACTCCCTATTTTTTATTAAATATTCTGGTAGCTCACGTCGAGAGCTTTCCAAAACACTATAATTAAGTTAGTTTTCATTAAGTACTTTCTGAATTATGAGGCTTGAAATCATCTTAATTTTACATAAACCGTAAAATATCTTGTAAAATATTCATTTTTCGATTATCTTACCTTAGTACTTTTATGTACAAAATAATGAGAGGAATCAATTGGTGTAAAGAAAAAACATAGTTATTTTTAAAAAAAAATATGTAATTTGCAATTAACAATTACATATTTTTTTTTAAAACAACTATATGTTTTCTTTACACCAATTGATTCCTCTGATTATTTCGTACATAAAAGTATTAAGGTAAGATAATTGAAAAATGAATATTTTACTTGATATTTTATGGCTTTAAAATTAAGAAATGATTTCAAGCCTCATAACTCGAAAAGTACTCAATGAAGAAATACTTTATTATAGTTTTTTGGAAAGCTCTCGAGATAAGCTACACGAATATGTAATAAAAAGTAGGGAGTTCTATTTAAGAAATTGAAGGTGACCTTTACGTCACCTCTCTGAGGTCAAATTACTCGTATTACCACTATCTGATAGCCCCCTTCAAGCCATACAACTTTTGTCTAAAACATTTCTTTCTAAAGTGCATAGTTTATGAAATATTCGACCGGTCCGGGACTTTTGGGATACCCTGTATATCGTTACCATAAAAATAATTTGCAATGCAAATTTTTACATAATATTTTTATTCGTTACGTGGTTGTTTGTACAGCGTCAAATGCGAATGCGAATGGAAATGAAATGCTTACCACACCTATAATGGCTATGGAGATTGCGGCAGAAGAAGGAAGATTGAGGAAAGCTTTTAATGAAGTTGTAGATAGTTCAGAGAGTTTAGATTTGAAATCCGAAAGTTCTTCTCACACGCCCATAAATTATCCCGTTGGAAAACCATTGGAGGTAAAGATCTTTTTCCCATTCTTATATAGGCTTTCTCGCTAATTTTATGATTTTAATTAATAAACATAAATTGCCTCGTACAAATAATATCTCGTTTTTGAAGATCTTTTTGGATGGTCCTTATGGGGCACCGTCGAGCCACATATTTCGTGCGCAACATGCTATTTTAATTGGCACAGGAATTGGAGTTACACCTTTCGCCTCTATATTACAATCAATTATGCATCGATACTGGAAAGCGAGACACACTTGTCCAAAATGCTCGTTTTCCTGGGCCAGTGAAATTCCGCCTACTGTAATGAATTTACGAAAAGTATATACACTCTAACATTTTAATTCCCATTCATTTATCAATTTTGGAATAAACTTTATATGAGTTTTTATTGATGAACAACGTTTAACATATATTTGTGATAGTAAATTATTCTAATAATGTATGTGCAATAATAAGCAAATATCTGTAAAACAAATCTCAAAATTCTATTGCTAAATATATCAGAAAAAAATTGTCTAATTATATTTATTATCGTCATATTTGTTGATTCGCTCATATTTGTATTAAGTTTTCGAATCTAAAAAATATTTTATAGGTGGACTTCTTTTGGATTAATCGCGATCAACGTTCGTTTGAATGGTTCGTTAACTTGTTGTCACAACTCGAAATGGAACAGGCCGAGTTAGGGATCACCATGGAACGTTTTTTGGAGATGCATATGTACATCACAAGCGCATTGCAAAAGAATGATATGAAAGCGGTCGGTTTGCAGTTAGCGATGGATCTTCTGCACGAAAAGGTTAGATATATCATAATTATTTCGGGAGTTTATAAATGATTAAGTCTCAAATTTATATTAGCAATATTTTAATAAGTGATTAAATTTGATTAATTTTATTTTTGATTACCATTATATTATTTCTTATTATATTATTTAATTAGGAGAAACGAGATCTTATCACAGGTTTGAAAACCAGAACAAACGCAGGTCGTCCCAATTGGGATAAGGTTTTCAAGCAATTACAAGATAAAAAGAAAGGAAAAATTACTGTTTTTTATTGCGGGCCGCCGCAGCTCGCTAGAATTCTTCGATACAAATGCGATCAGTTTGGATTTTGCTTTAGAAAGGAATCTTTCTGATATCTCAGAGGAGAAGATTCGATAACTGTATTACAAAATGTATGAGAAATGTTAAAAATGGTTTATTATTTGTCATACTTTTGTATTATTTACACAAATTATAATTATGTATAATAATTGTATTTTAATAAATTATTTTTTGTGATTTTAATATGTATACTCACAAATAATATTTCTGTCGCATTTTTAATTTAAAACGTTTTTTCAACATTTATCATTTTATGTAGTCAGAAATGATTTCGGCTGTTATTAATTCTATATATATTTCTTAATTTTTATATCTTTTATATCTTAATCAATGTCTTTCATCATTCTAGCTGTTTCATGTAAAATCCAAATAGTCATCAAAATAAATAGAAAATGCATTTGTCGTTCTGTCATAATTTAATAAAATTAATTTTCCGTTATTCTCTCATTTTATATCGTCGAAAAAGAAAATTATTTACATCTTCCGTTTATGTTGTTTTCTCAGATTATTATAAATTTTAAATCTAATTATATGGATCATTTTATATGGATAAAATTAAACATTTTTGACTAAAGTTTCACACATAAATTTCTCTAAATCAAAATTAGTTGCCAACTTCGCATTATTGATGAAAACGAAACATCATCGATTTGATATAAGTGTGAAGAACATAAAAAGAGAGGATAGAAGAAAGATAAATTAAACGTTATGAAAAAAAGATTAAAAATTGTTAGGAAGACATTTTTTAAAAATAAACAAAATATTTTTATTCTCTTATTATTTTATTATTTATATATTTTATTATAAATTAATTTTCCGTTATTCTCTCATTTTATATCATCAAAAAAGAAAATTGTTTACATCTTCCGTTTATGTTGTTTTCTCAGATTATTATAAATTTTAAATCTAATTATATAGATCATTTTATATGGATAAAATATGGATAAACATTTTTGATTAAAGTTTCACACATAAATTTCCCTAAATCAAAATTAGTTGCCAATTTCGCATTATTGATGAAAACGAAACATCATCGATTTGATATAAGTATGAAGAACATAAAACGAGAGGATAGAAGAAAGATAAATTAAACGTTAAAAAAAGATTCAAAATTGTTAGAAAAAAATTTTTTAAAAATAAACCCAAATAAACCAAAATATTTTTATTCTCTTATTATTTTATTATTTGTATACTTTTATTATAAATGCAGCATCAATAAATAGAATTATGAAATATTTATAATCATAATTATTTATAATTGTCCATAAAAGATATATAACATTTATATTTAAGTACATTTTCTTGCATCATAACATTGACTAGATTTGTTATCTTCATAAAATATTTCACAATATTATCATATTATAATTATCATAATCGTCGTAAAATAACTAAATTATAACCAGTTTTAGCTATATATATATATATATATATATATATATATATATATATATATATATAATCGAACAATAATATATAAGTAAATATATAATGGTTTTGTGCACATTGATATAATCACGCGTACTCAAAAATTATTGTTCATCAACATAGCTGCTTGATTACAGTATGTTATGTTGAACTCGCAAGGAAGTTGGTACCAAGGCTCACCATCCACTTGCATAGCGCATGATCGCAATAATTTTATCTGTGACAACAATATTCATTATGTGTAGAATTGTGCAGATGCAAGAAGATTTTTTAAAATTGCTAAAACTTTAAAAATACCTTCACCGTTCTAGCTTGACCAATTCTATACGGTGTCGAGAGTCCTATTTGCAGCTGAGCCATTTGGAATGAAGAATAAAGAGCCACTACTTCCAGTTTGCCATCATTAATACTTTGTACTCCTAAATCTTTGTTGTCTGTGAAACAACATATATAATAGTAATATTAACATATTTATGTCTATCGATTATATATTAACCTTCTTCTCCCATTTTCCATAGATCGACACCAGCCGCCCAAGATGGAATGTTAAGTATCACTATGCTTTCAATAGAGGGCAATTCTGCCCTCTTACCGTCCAAATAGACCTCCAAATTTTTATCGAGATCTTTGCATTCTCTTCCCACGACTTGTTGTGTGCCGAAACATAAATACAACATCTGCAATAGATACAAATTGCTTTATTCAACCTGCATATACAGGGTGTCCCAAAAGTCCTGGACCGGTCGAATATTTCATAAACTATGCACTTTAGAAAGAAATGTCTCAGACAAAAGTTGGCTTAAAGGGGGCCATCAGATAGTGGCAATGATTTGACCTTGAAGAATCATTTGAAGGTGACCTTTAGGTCAATTTCTTAAATGGAACCCCCTATTTTTTATTACATATTCATATAACTTATCTCGAGAGCTTTCTAAAACACTATAATAAAATATTTCTTCATTGAGTGCTTTTCGAGTTATAAGGCTTGAAATCATTTCTTAATTTTGCATAAACCATAAAATATCTAGTAAAATATTCATTTTTCAATTATCTTACCTTAATACTTTTATGTACAAAATAATCAGAGGAATCAATTGGTGTAAAGAAAATACATAGTTGTTTTAAAAAAAAGTATGTAATTGCAAATTACATATTTTTTTCTTAAAAACAACTATGTTTTTTCTTTACACCAATTGAATCCTCTCGTTATTTTGTACATAAAAGTATTGAGGTAAGATAATCGAAAAATGAATATTTTACAAGATATTTTACGGTTTATGTAAAATTAAAAAATGATTTCAAGCCTCATAATTCGGAAAGTACTTAATGAAAACTAACTTAATTATAGTGTTTTGGAAAGCTCTCGACGTGAGCTACCAGAATATTTAATAAAAAATAGGGAGTTTTGTTTAAAAAATTGACGGTGATCTTCACGTGACTTGCAAATGACTCTCCCATGTCAAATCATTGCCATCTGATAGCCCCCTTCAAGCCATACAACTTTTGTCTGAAACATTTCTTTCTAAAGCATAGTTTATGAAATATTCGACCGGTCCGGGACTTTTGAGACACTCTGTATAAGTGAGAAAGCCATTTATTTGATAAAAAATTACTTTGTTAAATATCCTATGACTGAAGAGATAAAATCTACTCTCTCTTGTCCGATGAAAATTCAAAGTAACTTGTGCGTCGACACCCACGCTTATGTAATTGTACATAAATAAGGTTTGATATGATCCTCTGAATCCTAGTCCACCATATGGCTTTATTATCACGGACCACCTAAATCATATAAGCTTCATGTACATCCAATTAAATAGGAAAGAAGCGCATATATCTCACTTTTTATTATGTATGTACCTATCAAGCATCACTTTTTCTGCTGTTTGTACCTGCCTCAGGATCTCTATGGGATCCAAGTGCGAATCGTGTTCCTTTCCCCATCCTAATACTCTAGATAAATCGTTGCCTGTTCCCAGGGGAATTATTGCTACAGATGGAATAGACTGTGTCATATAAAAACATTTGTTTGTATTCATATGTGCAAGTGGAAGTATGTGATATATATTAAAAAAAACGAATTTATGTGTACCTGCAACTGAAGTTTATTAATAGTATTCAATAGCCAAGCGATAGTCCCATCTCCGCCAGCTACAAGTATGATAGATGGAGTTTTTCCTAATAAACGACACCATTCTAGAGCAGCGACTGGATCACGCTCAGCTAAATCCGTGATCTGCGCGGGGTTTAATAGTCTTCTAAACAGAGATAAAATTTGATCACCATCATTATTCCCAGCTTTTCTATTTCCTGCACAAAAAGAATCTTGATAATGCGTACATTCCAAGCAATTTTTATTTTTATTCTTTCCTTTTTATTTACCAACAACAATGATGGGATTCCAATCAAGCCAATTCGGTCGTATAATAGAACGAAGATGTAACCTGCGTCTCATTGTGCTACGTCGATTTATCACTTCTAAACTTCCTGGCGGAATAATCATTAATTTGAACTTTCCGAAATCACATATCTGTAAAACAAGTATGCTCTTCCAATCTGTTTTCTTCGCGATGAAACAAAATGTTTTATCGATGGCGCAGCAAAATACTATTCAAGATTACTATTTTTATTATTAAGATAACTTTATTAAGAGACCAAGAAACTTCCTGATAAAAAATTCGTTTAATTGTTTTTAAAAAAGATGAATTTTATACATACTGGGTGTCAGGCCAATCTCTTCTCAAAAAAGCTCTTGTAGCTTATCTCGAGAGCTTTTCAAAACATTATAATAAAGTATTTTTTCATTAATGTTATCATTATATTTGCAATTAATAATTACATTTTTTTTCGAAACAACTATGTGTTTTTTTACACCAATTGATTTCTCTCATTATTTTGTACATAAAAGTATTAAGGTAAGATAAGCGAAAAATGAATATTTTACTAGATATATTTTATGGTTTATGTAAAAATTAAGAAATTATTTTCAAGCCTCATAACTCGAAAAGTACTCGATGAAAAAATACTTTATAGTGTTTTGAAAAGCTCTCGAAATAAGCTACAAGAACTTTTTTTGAGAAGAGATTGCCCCAACATTTTATATACAGGATGTTCCAAAAGTCCGGACCAGTCGAATATTTCATAAACTATGCGTTTTAGAAAGAAATGTTTCAGACAAAAGTTTTATGGCTTAAAGGGGTCCATCAGATAGTGGCAATGATTTGACATGGGAGAGTCATTTGAAAGTCACGTGAAGATCACCGTCAATTTCTTAAATGGAACTCCCTATTTTTTATTAAATATTCTGGTAGCTCACGTCGAGAGCTTTCCAAAACACTATAATTAAGTTAGTTTTCATTAAGTACTTTCCGAATTATGAAGCTTGAAATCATTTCTTAATTTTATATAAACCGTAAAATATTTTGTAAAATATTCATTTTTCGATTATCTTACCTTAGTACTTTTATGTACAAAATAATGAGAGGAATTAATTGGTGTAAAGAAAAAACATAGTTATTTTTAAGAAAAAATATGTAATTTGCAATTAACAATTACATATTTTTTTTTTAAACAACTATATGTTTTCTTTACACCAATTAATTCCTCTCATTATTTTGTACATAAAAGTATTAAGGTAAGATAATCGAAAAATGAATATTTTACAAGATATTTTACAGTTTATATAAAATTAAGAAATGATTTCAAACCTCATAATTCGGAAAGTACTTAATGAAAATTAACTTAATTATAGTGTTCTGGAAAGCTCTGGACATGAGCTATCAGAATATTTAATAAAAAATAGGAGGTTCCATTTAAGAAATTGACGGTGATCTTCACGTGACTTTCAAATGACTCTCCCATGTCAAATCATTGCTACTATCTGATGGCCCCCTTCAAGCCATACAACTTTTGCTTGAAACATTTCTTTCTAAAGTGCATAGTTTATGAAATATTCGACCGGTCCTGGACTTTTGGGACACCCTGTATATTGTAAATGACGTTTGTAACATACGACGCTAAAGAAATAAAAAAGATATATCGATAAAATAAAAAAATATTCTTAATTATTACTTCAGAGAGAGCAGATTTACATGCTTCGTGAACACATCTCTGACACCAACAACACCACCAGTCCGTGAGGCCGGGCTCTATATCACATTCTTCTTCACAGATATAGCACGTGGCAATAAGTGGTAAATTACCTTTAGACAAAATAAAATATTTTTAGGAGCGAAATTTCTAGACAGAGTGAAATATTTTTAGAAGGATATGTGTATTCATCATGTTAGTAAACAATAATACACCTTTGACCCAATGATGCTTCATCGGTTGATCATTATTAAAAGTTATCGCTTTGCATTTTAGCTCTTTATCGGCAAGCTTTATGCAGCCTCGATCCGCACACACACCGCAAGAATCGCAAAAAAGGCCATCAAGATTCAATAATAGAACTTCGCATATACTACAGTAATATGCCTGTATATCAAGATGCATGTATATAAAAAATAATTTTATATATTTCTTTTAATATACCTATTATTACTGTGACTTTATGTTAAATACATATTTTTCTCATGACAAAAAGATTTTTATATGCTATAAAATATATTTTAAATTAAATAAATATTTCAATTCACATGACACACAAGAGATCATGCAGAAAACTATTATTTTCATGTTTCAATTTAGAACTGACTTAGAAAAAATACATTATATTTAAAAATGATCATGAATTGAAATTATTTCGAACCATATTGGAGTAATAGATAATGTTGGACACGGATCTTTTATTTTTTATTGCTATAAGAAACAATCTATCAAAATACTCTCATAAAAATTCTTGAAAATACCTTGATTGTTCCCTTAATTGGCCTCCAATTATGTTCCTTTGTAACATCTCTAATTTGAATGTGAGAATTACTTATTAGATATCGGAAGAAATTAATCGTGAATACACAGAAAATGATGGTAGACAATGTAGATATAATTTTAATATTCAAGTCTTCGCTCCACATAATGTCAAGATAATTTACAAATGGTATTTTATAAATGGTATTCCAAAAATTTATGACCTGAAATTAATGTAATTCCAAGTATAATAAATATATCTTTTTTTAATAAAAAGATATTCTTATTCTATTAAAAGTACACAAAAAGATATTTAAAAACATTTATATTGCAATTAAGTCATTACTTAATGTGCTCTTAACAATACTAATATTTTTGAAATAAATAATGATTTACTCCAATATATTTATTTACTTAAGATATTTTCATAAAATAATGAAAATTATTTATGAATATTTTTATAATTAAATTAATTATTACAAAAATATCACGAATCAGTATGATCAACTTATTAGGAAATTATAAAAAAACCTATTTTTATTGTTTTTCTTAATTTTATATGTATCATTATTTTAATATTTATTATTTGGTATAGGATTAGATTAGATTTTTTAAATATTTAAATATTTATTATTTGTGGTACAGAATTAAATAATTAACTTTAATTGAAAGATACTTATCTTTAGCTTGATATAATTTTTTTAACATCTATGACTTAATATCTCAAATCATGTCAATCGCTATTAGAAGCGGATCAATATTTTTACAATAGTCAGTTCGATATTTGTTTTATGTATTAAAGGGTATAAAATCATGTGAATGTAATAACTCAAATCATTATAAAAATAATGATTTATAATTTTCTCGAATTTTCTTGATAATAACTGATTTAATGTTGCAATAATATGTGATAATATAAAATCAATTTTTAATTCCTACTTACGTTTTTATATGACAGCTACTTTCTTCAAGTCATTTGTACATATTATACATGTATATTTATGTATTATACATCTATACCGTATGTATATTATTTGGTATCGTTTAACCTGTCACTTACAGCTGTTTACAGTTGCTTCTACAAAGATTGCTGATCATGCTTCCTAGGAATAGGTATCTCGATTCTTCTCGATTAGTCGAGATTCGATATTTTTCTCGATTAAAAATCGAGAATATTGTTTCGATGTCTCCAAATTTGATTAATCAATTGCCAATGTTTCTTTTTACGTAATATTATTAATAGAGAGAAGCTTAGAGCGACTATTCCGATATCTTTCATATGATAGACATTTTTTAAATATATGAAGTATAGATGAAAGAGGTGCCTATAGGAACTACATATCAGTCCATTTAAGAACACACTACATCCTTACATCTGTCCAGTTTAATAAGGAGCGCGCTATTTAAATGGAGAAGTCATCAAAATGTTAAGATAACTATTATAAGATACTTACAATTTGAGTTATAAATTGTAAATAAAATTAAAATCAAATTGGAATACTTGTGAAATCATTAAAATGCGATAAAAATGCGTAATTTAGCCAAAATAACATAAAATAAAATAAACTAAAGATATATAATAAATACAATAGTATAAGAATATTCTAAACAATACAATAATATTATATTTTATTAACTAAACTAAATTAAATTAAATTAAAAAAAATTATGATTAAAATTATTTAATATAGAAGACAAACATATATCTTTAATTAATAATGCAATATGAAGTGGAAATGTATAGTTTTATGTTAATAATAAAAATATATAAAATTAAATGATTAGATTTTATATGTTTGCATTTTTCTGCTTTTAGGATATTATGTATGTTTAAAACTATAATTAAAACTATAACTTAAGCAAACTTAAGAAATATTATTTAAAAAATTTACAGATAACAATGCCAATAACAGAAGAAAATTATTGTTATATAATAATTAAAAATTAAAATTGAAATTAAAGTCAAGTTAAGTTAACAAGTAGAATAATATTACATCACACTTACATGCGCGAGAATATTTTTAAAATCTTAATTAATTTCTAGGATAAATTGATTTAAGACTGAGTAAATATTCACATCACATAAGTAAATAATAATGATTTGATCGGATGTGGAAATTCGATATCTTTGAGTAGGTTTTTAATTAATAAAATCTTTGAACATATCAAAGTATTGATATTGTCAGAATATATAATTAATTCTAAAATGATTAATTCTAGGATTCTATAGATCGTACAAAAGTAGGTGAATTTACGATTTCATGGACATTTCCCAAGCTTTCAGTATTGTACTACATCCATTTTAAAAGCACATGGAATCACATAACTATGTTTATTTTCCGATACTGTGAATAAAATTATCTTTGGTTCACAACAATAAATTGTAGAACATGTCTCACATATAGATTTAATTGTATATTTCATTAACTGAGCTTATATTTTCTATTTTAGCATATATATAAACATTGATATACATTATTATTATATTTTTATATACGTATAGAGACGAGGGTGAGGTGGTAAAAAAAAACAGTTTTTTGGATTTTTTTAAATTTTATTTTCAACATAATCTCCACAAAGACTAATACATTTTTCAAAACGGTGCTCTAATGCAGGGATATACCAACTTTATAGTACGATTCGTCGAGCTCCTCAAAATACCCATTTACAGCGTTGACTTCCTCGTTGCTCTTAAGTTTTTTTCCACCGAACCATGTTTTAAGGTTAGGGAATAGATGAGTCGCTGGGTGCTAAATCTGGCGAATAAGACGGTTGGGGAAGCAATTCGAACTTTAATTCGTTGATTTTAGCCATCGTTATCTGTAAATGGGTATTTTGAGGTGCTCGACGAATCGTACTATAAAGTTGGCATCACTGCATTAGAACACCGTGATGAAAAATGTATTAGCTTTGTGGAGATTATGTTGAAAAATAAAATTTAAAAGAATCCAAAAAACTGTTTTTTTCTTTATCAGGCCGGAAACTTATCATCCCACCCTCGTATACTATAGATGATATCCATTACTATAGATGATATCCATTATATAAAGAGAAAACGAAAAAAAAAAGATAATCTTTAACAGATTCAACTTTTCTTGTTTTAAAACAATTTCAGATAATAAAACAATCCTTTTACACAAAATATCCTAATACATTTTTTTATATTTTAATAATTTTTATTAAATGTATATGCAAATGTATATGCACATATAGACACAGAAAAATTCTATATATAATATAAAAAATATTTTCGATAACAAAATTAAGATTTATTTTATTAATTATGAATCAAAAATATAAAGTTTATCAATGCCAAATAATCTTCTTAAAATATACGGTAGTAAAAGAATTTTCTAAAGATACATAATTTTTTTTTAATGCCCAATCATGTTAAGTATATGTTAATTATATACACATAATATTAAAATAATATTAAATATTAGAAATGTATATTAATATTAATAATTTATATACAAATTATAAAGCATAATAATAAAGAAGTATAATATAGGAGAACACGAAGCATTACTATTTTATGTTAAATTATTTACATTAAAAGAACTGTTCTCTAAATTTATTTTTTATGCCATGTATTGATAAGCTTATTTTTAATAAAATTATTATTAATTAAAATTTTAAACTTTATACAAATAAATGATTAAATAATTAATTTTAATGAAAAAATTAGCTTAATATCAAAAGAATTAATATGACATTAAATTTTTTTCTTCTTTAAAATCTAATAAATCTAAATCTATATAAATTTAAAAATTAAATTAAAAAAATAAATCTATTACTTATATCTATGATGAAAATTAAAAATTATATAAGATGAAAATTGTGTATAATTAATTATTATATTTTTTTAAATTTTTATAATTTAAAAAATATTTGCGTATTTTTAATAAAAAGGAAAAAAGAAAAATAGTAAGATATCATATTTTTTTACAATATTTAAATTTCTTTATATTGATTTGTTGAAAAGAAAAAAAGAAAAAAGAAGAGATTGTTGAAAAATAATATAAATTTTATTCTTAAATTAAACTTTGTAGATTTTATTTGCGATATTTCATGTATCAAATTTAATTTAAGATATAAAATACGGAATATTTATTTGTGAATTTTTATCAGACGAAATATCCAATATTTCAGGTAACAACAAATTTGTTGTCATATAAAGGTCGTCTTCACGACGTACAGCGTATTGTTGATATATTTTCACTCAAACTCGTCATTCATACACCGAAACTAGAACAGAAAGGTTGTTGCTTCGTGTATCGTCGAATTATTTTACGAGAAATGCGACTATTTCTTACATTTATTATAATTAGTGACATGTAAGACTATCGAAATAATCTTAATGTATTTTCGCGAGTAATAAGTGTCAAAGTTTTTCTTGGTTTTGACTTGTTGATTCAAAATACAATTCTCACGTGAAACGGAATATTGGTTCACAATCACGAACGTGTTTGCGTAAGTGCCGTACAAAGTGTCGCACGTTTATTATCATCGCATAATGAAGTTTTTCATATTTTCACGAGGAATACAACAAACTCTATAAGTACAATAATTCTAAAAATCTAAGAGGAGGAAAAAATTTTTGGAAATTTCGGGAGCTGATGGAGCATTCTTAAAAGGTGAGTTATTTTATTGATATATTATTTAATTATCACTCTCACACACACACACACACACACACACACACCACACACACACACACACACACACACACACATATTTATTCCTGTGTGTATTTTGTTTGTTTACTTAAACTTAAATAAGAATTACAGGAAAAACGTTTATCCATGGTATATTTAATTAAGAAACATTGTATTAAGAAACATAATATTATATTTTTGGAAATATAATTATTTCATTAAATATTTACTTATTATTTTATTAAATAAAATTTAAAAAATTATTTTAAACGATATGTACATAACCGATTACATTTCGCAAAATTCGCCAGTCGTTTTTGTATGTTGAATATATGAAAAATTTGCAAAAATTCAAGAAAACACGAAAAGATAATAAACTATCATGCTTTTGCAAATAATTGAATAATTTCAATATATTGATTTATTACAATTAAATAAAAAAGATTCTTAATTTAAAATAATACATTTAATTCTTTTAAAATATGAAAAAATTCCCGTAAACTATTAATTTATTTAAACAATTCTTCTCTCTTTTAATCGAAATCAAATATTTTAAATAAATATTAAGCGAAAGAGAGAAAAAAGAAGAGAATGAGAGAAAAAGAGAGAAAGAAACATTAATTAATTACATTACGGATTAATTACATTATGGATTAATTTTTATTAATAATTTAATAAAAAATTAATCCATAATTTTAAAAAACAATATTTCACACACACACACACACACACACACACACACACACACACACACACACACACACACACACACACACACACATATACATATGTACATTCATATAACATTTTTCGATAATAAGAATAATTCATAACAACACAGTATTCGGCCTTGACGACGTATACGCGCTATTGTTTACGTGCCGCAACCTTATCATTCATACAATGTTATTTGAATAGTAAAATATTAATGTGCGAATACATATATTGTCAAATTTCATTTTTAAACACAATCACAATATATATCGAAAAATAATTTGATTATTATAATTAAAATGACTAACTTTTATCAATGATACAAAACTATTATATATTGTGATATATCTTTATCGAAGCAACAAAAAGTAAAAATTATAAAATAAATATAATTATAAATTATATTTATATAAAATTACTTTATAAAAAAATTTTGTAAAATTATAAAATCTTATAAAATCATTTTGTTACGGTCCTTATTTTTATATTTAATAACAATTATCTCTTAATCATACTTAAAGATATTCAAACATATGTACCATGCTTTAAATTTTCTGCTAATTTGAATTGTCATTCAAATTGAGATCATGTAAAACATAAATTGTAAAATCAAATTAAAGAAATTAAATTAAATTAAATTAAATGCACTAAGTAATAGAATAATTTGAAATTTAATAGCGATTTCGGCTGGTCTGCACTGGTGTGCCACCTGTGTAGAGTTGGTGCAAGTGTGTGCAGTGCGTACACACCAACTGGCCGATTACACCAACTGGCTCCAACAAATTTGTGAGAGCCACTTTGTGTACACCCAACATGCACCTGTGCGGTATACGGAGCCCAGACGAATACGCATCTCCAGTGAGGGACTGCACCATTCGACCAGCCGAACATACAACACCCGAAATGTGCAGTCGGTGCAGACCAGCCGAAATCGCTATAAGAAACAGAATATACAGGGTGCTTCCGCAACATACAGATCGGTAAGTCGGGTTGCCTATTTGACGATTGGTCTTCTTTTATCGACCTCGCATAATTGAAAAATAATAAAATCAGAGGATCGATCATGTAATTTTTTTTCGTGAAAAGTGAAAAAATTCCTTGATTGATACCTTGAATGCAAATCTGTAGGGAATAAGGAAAGTGAAATCAGCTTTTAACATTGATATAGTGTAATTGTAATATTTAATAACATAAATAACATTATATAAAGAAGATCTTAAAAATAAAATTCGAAACGCGTTTGCGGAAATCACTCCTCCGATAATTCGGAGAATAAGGAAAAATTTTATGCGGAGGATTGCTTTATGTTTAGAAGAGAATGGCTGTTACATTGAGCATATATTGTGAACATTAAAAAATAGCTTTTTGTTTAAATTCATTATATTTTATCTATGTTATTATATTTCAATTGTGTCATTTTATGTTATTAATGTTATTTAAGTTATTTATGTTATTAAATATAATGTTATTTATGTTATTAAATATTACAATTACACTATATCAATGTTAAAAGCTGATTTCATTTTCCTCATTCCCTACGGATTTGCATTCAAGGTATCAATCAAGGAATTTTTTCACTTTTCACGAAAAAAAATTACATGATCGATCCTCTGATTTTATTATTTTTCAATTATGCGAGGTCGGTAAAAGAAGACCGATCGTCAGATAGGCAACCCGACTTACCGATCTGTATGTTGCGAAAGCATCCTGTATATATTTTGCACAATTTTATTCTGTATTGCTTTATAATATTTTGCGGCGATAATAAATTAATTTGCGTGTTTAACATTTTATTATGATGTAAAGTATTATTGTTTATCGTGAAATTTATTCTATCGAAAAATCTATTGTGTAAACAATCGGCAAATTTAATTCTATTTTCGGATATTGTATAATCGAATAGTTATTTTAAATATTTTAAATTATATATTTATTTACTTATGTTCAAATACACATACCATATCTCAAAAATAAAACAAATTACAAATTATATAAAATAACTCTTCCAACGGATATATCTTGACATTGGTGGAAGGGCTTATGGTTAATACTTGAAAAGTTTATTATAAAGAAGTTAAATATCCAAACGACTCGTGATAATTGCTTTTACAGCATTATCACGAATCGCAAATAACTCCCATGTAGAGAGTGCATTTAATACGTTGAATGCACACACTAATCGGTTTTTAATATGTCGCGAATAATTAATAGTATATATTGATGATTTAGTATATTGTAAAATTTCAATTTTAGCTCGAAGAACAGTCTGATTTAAATTTATTAAAATTAAATCCATTGCTTGTTAAGCGTAGGGTAAAATTATCATCAAATTTCATTTTCGTTTTTTTTCCACTTTAGGTTTAACTCTTGCTTGAAATTACTACGTCGACTTAAAATACGATTCTTGCGTGAAATAAGAGATCGCTTCGCGGTCGCGGAATTCGAGAGTGCCGTTGTAGAGTGTAAAGTGTCACGCGTTCGTTCTTATTGTAAATTCAAGTGCAATTCGAGTGCCGTTTAAGTTTTCGCTCGATTAAGTGAGGGAGTACCGCAAAGTATCGCATGTAATAAATTGAATGAATTTTTCGCAAGTATGTGTGAATTAACGAATTTTGACAGTGCTGACAATTCTGATAAAGGAGGAAGAGGAGGAGGCTTAGGAGAGACATCATACATCGGTAAAACAAGCGTATAAATATTTATTATTAAATATTTATTATTTGTAAATATTTATTATTTGTATATTAGTCGTCATATAAATCGTATACACGCATTAATTCAATTTGTGTACATATATGATTTAGCAAAGAGTATTAAAAAAAGAAATATTATATAAATTTTATAAAAGTTTTTGTTTAAAAAAGATAATTTTTCCAGAATTTATAAAATCATTCTATTATGTATCTGTTAATTATTGTATGCATCACCGAAAAAATTCGGCTGGTATAATAATTTTTAAAATATTAAATATTAAATACTAAATATTAAATATTAAATATTAAATATTAAATATTAAATATTAAATATTAAATATTAAATATTAAATATTAAATATTAAATACTAAATATTAAATATTAAATATTAAATATTAAATATTAAATATTAAATATTAAATATTAAATATTAAATATTAAATATTAAATATTAAATATCAAATATCAAATATCAAATATCAAATATTAAATATTAAATATTAAATATTAAATATTAAATATTAAATATTAAATATTAAATATTATTTTGGGCGCTGCTATAATTTAAAGTTTATATTTTTATGTTACAGATCAACTAATTTTAATAACATCAACTCTGCTGCTACGCATCGATCGGTGAGTGACAAACTTTCATTTTATTTTAAGAGATAATGGATAACATAATGAAAATATATAGATAGATTCGTTGTCTTAAAATGGATATATAGAAAACAAATTATACTTTATGTATAGATTTAGCAGATTTAATAGATTAAATCGAACAATTTTTGATATCTCTCTTTTCTACCAATAATATAATATATTAATATTGCAAAAATAAAAATTATAAAGGATTCTCTCCTTGTTAATAGACAAAAAGTCTGATAACCGTCTTCATGAGGTACACGAAATGATCGCGTGATCGCAAGTTTTGAAGCATTTTATATCGATTTTTCGCGAAGTTATTCTCAAATTATATAAAATTATTATCAAACTCTGTCCAATTTATGAAAGAGTGATCGTATAAGTGTGCGCAGGAATGCGGGGAGTAGATAGGTCGCGGCTACTACGCGCACGATAACACAGGTACACAAAGTTAATTTGCTCAGTCACGTGAGTACCGCGCGAGCGTTCAGTCACGTGCGCAAATCAGCTGTTCATCCTCACATCGTGCGATTCACGTGACTCGCATGCCTGCAATCGCTCGTTTTCGTCTGTATCATCGATAGAAATACCTCCGATAAAAAAAATCACAGCGAGTTGAGGCAAAAATATTGCAAAATATCAAAGTCGAAAATATAAGGCGATAATATTATCTTTATATTATTGCATACACAATACATATATGTAAAAAATATATAGCAAATTCTTTTTTTTAAACTTATAATATATTTAATACAGTAAAATTTACAATAATTATAATATTTGTATATAAAATATTTTAACATTTATGTGTACATTCTGTGTGTTTAAAATATATAAAATTATTTATTATTAATTATTTATATTAATTATTTATATAATTATTTATATTATTATTAATTATTATAAAATTATTTATTATTAATTATTAATATAGAAAGAAAATTAGATTTTTCTAATTTTATAATATTTTATACAGAAGTTTTCCATAAAATCAACTAAATTTTTAAAGTGAGAATTTTTTTAAAATTTAGAGTTATCCCTTTCGTTAAAATTATGTGACTCGTATTTTATTTCTTTAACAAAAATTTATATTTATTTAAATTTATTCTTAAATCAGCTCTTCTTAATTAACACTTTTTTAAAAATTATTTACCACCTTTTTTTTAAGATTCTTATTAAAAACAATTACATTATCTCAATAAATCAAGCAAATTTTAGATAACATTTCTTCTAAAATGTGTTCTATTAATCCTTTAAACGTATTATAAAGTCTGAAAGAGATAAGTGTCAATTGCCAAAATCTATTTCTAACTATTTCCAATCGAAAATGCTGTTTTCTCTTTATCAGGCAAATAGATATTTATATATTCAAATATATATATATTCACTAGTACCTACTCTTTAAATCTAAAGAAAGAGAATAAGAGAAATCAAAGTTAAAGTAGTGAAATCAAATTATTAAAATTAAGAATATCATATAATCTATAAGAGAAAGTGAATAAAAATCTTTTACGTCGCGGATTTCAACTTTCTATAATTTCAACTTTCAACTTATAATTCAATTTCAACTTATTACTCAACTTTCTATAATTCACACAAAAATAGATAAATCCATCATTATTTTAATCAAAACCGCAAGTGACATGCATGAGTTGTGAAATTTCTTAATCACTTGTTTTTCATATCTTTAATAATTTCTTCAATAATCCTTCACCTTAAATTCACCTTAAATCATCTAAACTTTTTAAAATGTATATTATATATATATATATATATATATATATATATATATATATATGTATGTATGTATGTATGTATATATGTATATATGTATATATGTATGTATGTATAATAAATATTGAATAAAATAATTTTTATTTTTATTTAATATTTATTATGTTATTATCAAAGAATTATCGTTTCAAAAATATAAACAAAATTAATAATTAGTTAATCTAGTATGTCTTCGAGAAATTGTTATTTTTTATTTGATAGTCAATTTTGAACAAAACTTTGCGTAGCTTGAGAAATGCGCTGTTCGCTACCGCCCTCTCGAAATGCTACAGCTAGATTACGAAACGTAAGACTGCATATCTAGAATGCATGATAATAGAAGAAATATACTTACATATATTTATTTTACCGCATTTTTAAATTATATTAGACATTATTATTTATAAGTCTTTCAAAAAGTTATTAAAGTATTAATTCATTAAAATATAACGTGTCGGATTTGCTTAATAATTATATTATTATATTATTATATAATTATATTATTGATAATAATATATAATTATATTATTATATATAATTATATATAATAATTAAATTATATATTATATATTATATTATATATAAATAAATTATATATTAATAATAATATAATTATATAGCTTTAATTATTATATAATAATTAAAGTTATTATATAATTATTATATAATAATTAAAGCTATATAATTATATTATTATCAATTTTATATGAATTGTATATATTGAAATTGGATATTTTTTTCTAAATTATATTAATTTTGTATTCGTACGATTTATAAATATAGTAATGATCAAAGATTAATTGATGAAAGAAGTATTAATTCTAATATAATTTATAATATACATTATATATATTCATATTTAAAAGATTTCTCGAAAACATTTTAATTGCGCTTAGAGATATTATTAAAATTTTCTCTGGCATTCTATTGCTATAAGATGTCAAATATAGTAAAGATGTAGCATTAAATAATTTATTTTCTTCAATTAGCTTACTTTAAAAAGACTATGTATTAAAAGTGAAAAAATAGATTTACAGCGTGAACACACACAATATAGATACAAAATCATGCTTAGAAAAAATTTTATTTATTTGAAAAGAAATTAGTGGCACAAAAGTATTAATCAAATGAGATAACAATAAAATGCCTTCATACAATTACATTACTTCATACAAATACAATGAAATGGTTTTCATATTTTCTGTAACATATGAATTTTAAAGTAATGTTCAATTTCGAGTAACGTTCACGTAACATTTTAAAGTAATTCTAAAACGAATCAATTATTTGTAAGAGAAAAGAGTTCTTCTTTATCGCGTATCAAGAAGCTCTTTTCTTCACCTCGTCGGGATATTTTATCATAGAGAGATGGCGCCTCGACGACTATCAGAAGATCTCATCGTCGTCATCGTCATCATCATCATCTTCATCGTCATCATCATCATCTTCATCGTCATCATCATCATCTTCATCATCATCATCATCATCATGATCATTATGATCATCATCCATAGGTCACTTCCTGTACTTACACTATCGCCTCTTGCTACGGTTGACCTCCCGATCAGTCGGTTACTAACTTAGTTGAAGGAGGACGTGCTTACCTCACTGTCGAAAACGACGGCTGCTGTTTGCAAATTGGTCACGGTCGTGTACCGCAGTCATCTTTCCTAAGTCAGCCAGTCCGACGTCGGCAAATATGATCGTGAGGTCGCGAAGCGGGTGAACGGGTTGACGTGACGCGCATCCGAGCGTGCGAGACTTACAAGATTGATCTATCATTGTCTTGTCTGGCCGCCGTCTGGACGGTTGATTGCCATCGCGGCAAATATTATTATCTTCCCAGAATTCCCGCGTCCGATTTCGCGTCGTCTCACAACTGCAACTGCTTTGTGGGAAAATCATCGGTATTGAATTTTATTTTGCACACAATTATATATAAGTCATAAAGTTAGGAAATTTCCAAAGGAATTTGATTTAAAAGTGAAAAGTAACCGAAAATTAAAAAAAAAAAAGATAGAAAATAATGCAATCTCAAGATTTATGATATATAATATAATAGATTTTTTTATAAATAATATTTTGAATAAATAATTATATATTTATAATACTATGTTAGAAATAGAGGAATACAAAATAATTCAGTAGCATTGATATATTGATACTGCTTAGCCATATGATTGATGAACTCATAACTTTACAAGACAATTTCTATTCTATTTAATAACGCGATATAATGTTCGAATGAAGATCTTAATAGTAATCGTCAAATTTACTTTTACCATTTTATTATGATACGTTAAGGAAAAGAAAATTATTAGATTTTTTTTTAAGTAATATATATGTAACTATAAGAGGTTTCTCGAAATTGATATTTATTGTTATTTCTTTTATTGAAATGATGGAAAGAGTTTAAATAAATATTAAATTTGCATATGTAGAAAAATTATTTCTTAAAATTTTAGAATATTCCAATTTTAAGTTTCATCTATATTTTTAAAATTTATAGCAAAAAAATAAGAATCGATGTTGCATGAAATTCCAATCTATTTCTTAGAACCCAGAAACACGTGAGCATTTTACAAAAAACAATCATCAAAAATCAATTATAATCTCGATATTCATATAATATCTATATAGCTACTGTATCTTCTAAACATAAATTATTATGTTTCCAATTGTATACAAGTTTAATAACTTTTATCTCGGTTTTAGTTTCTAAAATTTTTAAACAAAAAATTTATAAAAGAACTTACACACAGATGTCTGTGAGTAGCTTTTTTATATCAAATAAAGAAATAAAATATTCGTTCTCGAAAATTATATCTGATTGATTCTAATAATATCACACTAAGAAAAATCGTTTGATTGTACCAACAAGATGTACTCGTATACGATTGAAGGCATTTTAATTAAATCAAACAAGAATTTCTAGTTATCGTAAGATAAAACTCGATAAGACTCAATTTTTTTATAATGAGAACTTTTAATAGATTTTACTATAAGGATTTAGTAGGGTTAGTATTTTCTGATTGGATCTATAAAATTTCTTGTTACATTAATTTCTTTGCTTGCCGCTAGGCGGTGAGCCACTCTTAACTTAACTCATATTCAATATTTGCTATAAAATATATATAAAGAACTAATGTTAACATTAAATCCAAAGTATATTTTTTTTCTCTTAGGAGCAGTAGTGCCAGAAAGAGGGCACTAGCTCT